GTTGCTTGGTTGTTACAGATAACTGCATATTTTCCCATTTTGATTGTTCCCATGTTTTTAAATAAGACCCTGATTTTATATTGTGGTTGCAGATTGTATACATTTATACTGTACATATACTGATGTAATCTTCAGATTAATGACTTTACAAGTTAGGATCCCAGGGTGATGTAATTTGAAATGATCACAAAATATTACAATGCAGTTTAGGTGGTGCTGGTTTTCCATCTACAGATAACCTGACCAGCAAGTCTTGGTAACCAACAGCAGACCTGCAGATTGTAGATTTGTTTTCATTAAAACAGTTCATGTACAGTTAAAGATATCTAGGCTCCATCAGAAAGTCAATGAAGAGAACACTGATGATATACAATGTAGTTATCAAAGAGCATATCGCCTGCCCTACTGGGTCTCCCATGTAGCTCTGGAGGCTGCTATTGTCTAACCTACCAAAGTGGGCTTGCTTCAGGGAAGTGTCCTCACTTTTTTGCTCCCTGTCTTGGGAGTCAGGCTGTTTGGTGGTTGTCAGCAGTTGACAGGTTTCCTTTCCTTTTTAATCTAAACCTTCCTTTAAAAGAGAAGTGTGGTATTAAAAAAATAGCTTCTCTGCTCCTCCAGTGCTCACTGGAGCGCTGAGCTCTGAAGGGGCAGGAGTGGCTGGCTCAGGCTCTCAGCAGCGCAATGCTGGTCAGGCATCTGGGTGGATCCCGACATTAAAGTTGGGATTCCTTCAGAGTTGACCGTCAGCCGACAGCAGAGTTTAAATGTAAATAAAAAGTGCAGCACTTATAGTTAATAAATAATACAAAACTGTGCAAACAGATATAATGCAAACAAAAAATTCCTATGAATAGTCCACCATAAAAAGTGCAAGTTCAGTTCTGTTCTCATGGAGAAAGAAATCTTCCAAATCAATGTGAATCAAGGCAAAAAGAACTAGATGCTTCCACCAATCTACCACTCTGCATGTGATTGGACCCTTACCAAATTATACCAACACCAGTTAGGGTATGGTCATAAAAGCTTCAAATCAATCCACGCTTGGGATATGCATATCTTGCATAGCAAAGTTCCTCCCAACGTAGCATCTCAAGGATATCAATAAAGTAAGTAGAAACCCCAGGGACTGTAACAGCATACTAAGTAAAAAACTTCACAATTTATTAAAGATTAAAACAAGAGTGTATAAAAGCCAAGCAGTGATCATACAGTCTTCACAATATTTTTCCTCCTCCGCTCGTGTCGTCCAAAACTCCACTTCCAGGGCTCGATCAGCATAATGACGACACATCCCGTAGCCCCGTCCTATGCTTTTCGTCAGAGCTGACATCATCAGGGGGAGTGGCCTGCTGTCAGCTGAATATGGGTCACAGGAGTATAGAACGACGTGCACTCCTGTGACTTATAGGAGAATTATGGCCAAAAGAGCTTTGGCCCTACTTCTTCTTTGACTTTATTTTAAAGAAATCAGCAAAAATTGTTCCAGACTGTACTTTTTTTGCATCGTCATGTGCCCTGGCTTACTGATCAAATTTAAATTTCACCTAAAATAATAAATTCATTAAAAATTCCAATGTTATCCTGTACAGCACTGTTTGCATCCTAACTGACCACATCCCATCACAGATTCTGAAAAAAAACAACGCTAAACACCTTAAATTGTGTTTGTAGATATCTATGTTCTTCAGTATGTCTTTGTTGGGCAGATCTTAGTCTGGAAGCAGGCTCTGCTTCTGTGAACCAATAGGAGTTTCCTTCTTGTATATCACATTACAGTCCCAATGATTGTGCGCTCTTGTGTGCTTTCCCATAATTTGCAATAATCTTCATAGAGGGCAGGCACAATCAGCTAATTATTTTGAACATCTGGTTTAGGAGATTGGCTATTTTATCTTTTTATTGGTTCTCTTAAATTTCAGAAAATGTTAATATTTACAGGTGCTGACAGCTTCATTCATATGTATCTATTTGTTTAGACATTTGTTGGTTAAAATGAATGCTAATCATGTAACATTTTGAGAAGAAACTCATATGATTGAATAGGGCAGAGCCTATGTTGAGCCACACACAAGGACAAGATAGAGAACCCTGGTTTAGGATTTTCTGTACATTGACACAGACCATTTCTGACAGATTGCTGATATGATAACCTTCTGCACTACAGCCCCCTACACTTGGGCATTTCTTTAAACTAATTAAAAATGAAACTTAGTCATACTAGATTACATACCTCTAAGTAAAAGTATCCTGTAACCCCCAATACCAGGGTGCCATGATATGCAAACCATCTTCCCTAGCTCTGGCCCATCCCTCCCTTACCTCACCATTGGCCCATCATATTGATGAGCAGCCTCACTAACCAATATGTTTTTAGAGAATGGTGTCACTTTAAATACTGCATATGTAGTGTTGGATGCAGTTGTACTGAACACGCAGTGGTTTGGTCTGTGTTGGGTGTGACATGCAGCCTCATATATGTAAGAAGAAAGTGTATGTTTTTATGTGATATCTGTAGGAGCCAGTCAGATTCCACCTACCATTTATTATCTTGAACACGATATAAAATTATTTAAAGATTCTGGAAACTATGTTATGAATAATGTTGAGAGCGCAAGCGTGTATTAAACACCATGAGAATATTTTAAAAGATTAAACTGATAGAAAGACTAAAGTGGACCTATGATTTAAATAACACATTTTGTATGAATCAATTGGTACATATTAGCATAGCCAAAAAAAAAACAACTTTCTGTGAATTGAAAAACGTCTCTAAGCAAAAATGACATAGTGTCTGGCTGCTGGGGGTTTGATATAATTTTCTGACTTTCAATCACCTTTTCAGTGGTAAAAAAGATGTGTGTACTGTATATATACATAAATATTCAGTACACACACACATATATATACACACACACACACATCATACATAAAAAAAATGGTTATAAAATATCAGCACATTTTGTTAAAATTGTATAGCTAAAAAAAACATTAAGACTTGCAGGTCCCTTTTAAACAATCCTTACTTTGCGTATTCCTTTTCCTTTTAAATGTGTCCTGTGAAAGTTTTAAGAATGTTCTGTTTGTGTTTTTTTTTTTGTTTAATAATTGAAATCACTGACAATAATACGATTACTAACCAAATTACCATAAGATTACCTACCAAAATGTGACCTTGTTTAGGGAAATAATGTAATTTAACTCTAGAAAACAAATCATTTGGCTCAGGAAAAATGTACTTATGTTCCGTCTACAAAATTTCATGTATTGTGTATTTATTTTTCATTGTCTGTGAAAGTGACGTTTTTATTGCCAGTACATTGTTTCTTTTTAGTTCTTTAGGCTGTGTTTTTCTTTTTTGTTAACTACAACATTACAATAAATAAGATGTATTCGTTTTTAAAAAGAGTTATATATTTTTTCAAAGACTACCAATAGTACTAATATTTTCTGTCTACCTGTTAGAATGAAATTGTTATTTATCATTTTCTGTGTTTTCAGTAATTTCCAATGAGACACAAAAACCTGTCAGACTATGGTGATAAAACTATTATCCTTCCATTAGGCCTCATTCACATAGGCATACTTAAGCGTACATCCATGCAATCTCTGTCTTCGCAATTTGGGATGCACAGGTGCTCTATACATCCGTGTGCAGGTAGACTCATTTATGTCTATTGGGAAGCAGCAGCTGCATGGACACAGCCGCTGGTCCCGATTTTGACAGCCATGCAGGTGCAGGTCCCTGAATGCAGACAGTGTGAGTCTGGGGACATGCACCCGGTTGTCAAATCGGAACCAGCGGCTGTGGCCTTGCAGCTGCTGCATCCCAACAGACAAGAATAGGACTACCTGCACATAGATGCACGGAACACCTATTTATCCCGTGTGAGCAAAGACAGCCCTTCGCATGGATGTAGGCTTAAGCATGCCCATATCAATAAGGCCTTAAAACACCATGCAGTGTATGTTACATTCATTGCAGGTGAATCAATCACTGTAATATACCCATACATCAGGAAGGTGCACCTGCAGTGAATGCTTGGTAAATGTAACTGCTTTGTAAATATATTTGTACAATATTGTCTTCTCAAAACCCAAGGAATTTACAGCTCATTTTCATCAAAAATTAAAATCGCAAGTGGTTTCTTCCTTATTTGGAGTAAACCAGTCATGAGAAAAATGCTGGCTGTGTCTGGCTTCAAGGGCCCGTTCATAATTTTGCATTGCAGGAAAGCCCACATTGCTACAAAGCATGGCAATGTCCCTGCTCTATGTGCATTGCGTTGCGGTGCCAGCTTTAATCTTTTATCACAGACTTGAAATAATGCATCAAATGATTGAGATGAGTGAGAGTTCCTTATCTCTATACTTTATTCTGAGCCAGCAACTAAGAAATTAATGAAGCTTTTGACAGCAAGACAGCCAGACAAAGATCATTTTTCAAGGTCAGAAATGTCAGCTTATACATTTCTGTCATGACAGGTTCCCTTTGAGAAGGAAGTCAATGTCGTTTTTTTTCATCTGCAGCATTCCTTTTACATTTGTGATATTCTTGATAGTTGAGTACACACAAGTCCCACAAATAGGTCACTGGTAGTAACAAATAAACCCACATATCACTTTTTGGTGTGCTGGGAATTTTATTTAATTTAGGTACGAAGGAAAAGTAACATGTTTTAATATTTTATATTTATAGCAGGCAGAATAAGCATCTCGTACGTTTCAGCATTCCCTTGCCACCCAATCCTGCCTGGAAAAAAACAGCTGGTACCTCTGGGTATGGGGAGCACTGGACACTCCCCTTGAATATCACAATGTAATGTTATGCTTATCAACCTGCAGAGATGGGATAGGGAACACTTTACAGCAGATATACTGCAACAGAGCGGCACAGGGGCACAAAATACGTGATTTCACATTTCCAGGTAGGGGGTACGTTCACGCCCTACCCGTGCCACCATTCGCGGCCGTGGCTGTCAATGACTGGATCCCGGCTGGGGAATACTCGCTGGTGCCTGGTGATTGCTGAGCATTTCCGACGGGGAGGAGACCTGTATGTAAACAATTCAGTTCTCCTCCCTATCAGCTCATGCACTCTGCTTTGGATGGTTTTCCAAAGCAGTGTGATTATAGTGAAGCACACACAGAGAGCTTACAGTGAAACAGCACACAGTTAACCCTTTGATCGCCCCTCGTGTTAACCTCTTCCTGCCCAGTGCCATTAGTACAGAGTCAGTGCTTTTTTTAAGTCTCTGATTGCTGACATTACTAGTAAAAAAAACAAAACATTTTTTAAAATCCTAAATATATATACCACCATGTGTAAACGCTATAACTTTCACGTAAACCAATTAATTTACACGTGCTGTGATTTTTTTTATTTTTAGCAAAGACTTGTAGCAGAATACATTTTGACCTAAACGCCGCAGTCCCGCTATAAGTCGCTGATCGCTGCCATTACTAGTAAAAATATAAAACAAAATTCCAGTCTCTATACCGCCATTTGTAAACTCTATAACTTTCCAATTAATTTACACTCATTGGGACTTTTTTTTTTTAGCAAAGACATGTAGCAGAATACATTTTGGCCTAAATTCATGATGAAATTTTTTTTTAAATTTTTTAATGGACATGTTTAATAGCAAAAAAAAATATTTTTTTATAGCGCAAAAAATAAATAACGCACAGGCGATCAAATACCACCGAAAGAAAGCTCTATTAATGGGAAAGGTCGTAAATTTAATTTGGGTGCAGTATTGCATGTCTGTGCAATTGTCAGCTAAAGTAACGCAGCGCCGTAATGCAAAAAATGGCCTGGTCAGGAAGGGGGGTAAATCCTCAGGAGGGCAAGTGGTTAAAGGGCAGAGTAGGCAATGGGCACACTCTTGCAACATCCCTGACCATGACAATTACAGAACAAGAATGATAAAAACCCACTGGAATTGTTTTACTGTTACTTTTTCTTCTATACAAGCTTTTAAAAGTAATGCATTATATTTGGGGTGAAACTAGAGATCATGGGTTCCCTTCGCAACATTTTTATGGGGTCCCCTGGCAATCTCTCTCTGTGGCATAATGTAATAGAGTTATAGATGCAATAGTAATAAAAACCAAGTTAGTTACCTGGTAACTTAAAGGGTAACTCCACTTTTCTGGGGAAAAAAAAAGCAAATAAAAAAAAATACAGTATATAAAATTTTGCTACAAGTCAAATTGTAATTAAATATTATTAAAAATTACCTTTTCTTTTCAATCTGCAGCACTGTCATTTTCTGTAAAATGCAACACAATATGGCAACCTGGAGACCTGTACACAGATAGTGTACAGAACGCCCCTCAGAATTGTAATTTCCTGCTTGTGTAATTGGTTAACTAATTTTCCCAGAAGTCTGCATTAAGATGAAAGTCAAAATGTGGGCATTTCCTGCAACAAAAACATCCTTTTTGATGAGATACTCCCAAAGGGAAATGCGTCTAAAGGGTTGCAGACCCTGCTACTTTCCTCATTAGAGCCCGCAGGTGCAGCAGCTGATTGATATGAAATCACTCCCCCACAGTTTCACTCTGCACATGGACACATAAACAAACGGCTATTTCTTCAGAATAACAAAAGTTAGGAATCTGCAACAAAAAAAATTTGTTAAAATCCCTGCAATGTACATAGATCACTTTAAAAAGCTTTTCAATTCACTCCAAATCCACATTCTCCTCCCCAGAATCCTCCATTTCTCAGTGTTACTCAAAAAGAAAATAATTAAAATAGTGCAGTATCGCCACAACTAATATACAATAAATAAATTGTGCTCAATCCCCTTTGATAAGGTCTATGGACAAAACATGTCAGGAGGTGATGTCAGAAGCTGACCCAGGAACTGTAAGTGCCCATTCCATCATCTTGAGTATTGGAAACCTACATCTCTTTACATATGTGATCAGCTTTATGGTAAATAATTTAATGGGAATTTCTGCATGAGCTTTTTACAGTGCCTTAAAAAAGTATTCATACCCCTTGAAAATTTCCACATTTTGTCATGTTACAACCAAAAATGTAAATGTATTTTATTGGGATTTTATGTGATAGACCAACACAAAGTGGCACATAATTGTGAAGTGGAAGGAAAATGAGAAATGCTTTTCAAAATTTATTACAACTAAATATCTGAAAAGTGTGGCGTGCATTTGTATTCAGCCCCCCGGAGTCAATACTTTGTAGAACCACCTTTTGCTGCAATTACAGCTGCAAGTCTTTTTGGGTATATCTCTACCAGCTTTGCACATCTGGAGAGTGAAATTTTTGCCCATTCTTCTTTGCAAAATAGCTCAAGCTCTGTCAGATTGAATGGAGAGCATCTGTGAACAGCAATTTTCAAGTTTTGCCACAGATTCTCAACTGCATTTAGGTCTGCACTTTGACTGGGTCATTCTAACACATGGATATGCTTTGATCTAAACCATTCCATTGTAGCTCTGGCTGTATGTTTAGGGTTGGTGTCCTGCTGGAAGGTGAAACGCTACCCCCAGTCTCAAGTCTTTTGCAGACTCTAACAGGTTTTCTTCTAATTTTGCCTTGTATTTGGCTCCATCCATCTCTCCATCAACTTTGACCAGCTTCCCTGTTCCTGCTGAAGAAAAGCATCCCCACAACATGATGTTGCCACCACCATGTTTTACGGAGAGGGTGGTGTGTTCAGGGTGATGTGCAGTGTTAGTTTTCCGCCACACATAGCATTTTGATTTTAGGCCAAAAAGTTAAATTTTGCTCTCATCTGACCAGAGCACCTTCCACACATTTGCTGTGTCCCCCACATGGCTTCTTACAAACTGCAAATGGGACTTCTTATGGCTTTCTTTCAACAATGGCTTTCTTCGTGCCACTCTTCCATAAAGGCCAGATTTGTGGAGTGCACGACTAATAGTTGACCTGTAGACAGATTCTCTCACCTGAGCTGTGGATTTCTGCAGCTCCTCCAGAGTTACCATGGGCCTCTTGGCTGCTTCTCTGGTTAATGCTGTCCTTGCCTGGCCTGAGGGTTTACATGGATGACCATGTCTTGGTAGGTTTGCAGTTGTGCCATACTCTTTCCATTTTTTCAAGGCACTGTATGTCCTATATATAATTCATGCCTTGGGAGCCTGTGCAATAATGGGACCAGAGGAGTGACATCTAAGAGGAGTATCAGATGCAACATCAACCAACCCTCTGCCTTAGGGGCTGAGTTTTGTGCACATGGGGGTAGTGTATGGTGGCATGTATTGATGGATTCACTTTGCACTATATGGAGCACAGTTTAATGTGAGCACAATTTATTTAGTGTACTTTAGTTGTCGTGATGCTACACTATTTTAGCTATTTTATTTTTGACTGATATTGTAAGAGAAGGATTAAGGAATATTAAGCTACAATATGTTACATTTTTGCTTTTGGGTTTAGATATGCTTTAAAACAGTTAAACCCAAAACCAAAAATGTAATATACTGCAGCTGCATTAGTTTTCTTTTTTTTTTTTTTAGCCTTTTTTCCCTCTGTTTTAACCTGGTGATCTGGCCAGTAACACACCTCCTGTATCAGAGTGCCACCACACTGGATGAAGGAGCACAGGAGGCACCTTTGGACAGCAACATTGTCAGTCTGTGGGGAGGGAAATGTTAGATGGACTAGAAGAATTAAATACACTAATAAACTGAAGTAAAACTCTAAACCGCTAATACTCTATGAACAGTTACGGCAGTTTTTTTTCCATCTGGGATAAAGGTTTTACATAAAAAAATAATAACTGATTATTGGAATAACTTCTGTCTGTGTTAAATGGTTTGTCTCATCTCTGTAACTGATGCATTAAAAAAAACTACTGACTTACTGGCCAGATCACCAATGAAAATAGAAGAAAGAAAGCCTAAAAATGAAAATTATTGTAGCCATCACATGTAAAAATTGGTAAGCTGCAATATAATAAATGTCTGTTTTTGGGATTAATAATGCTTTAAATATTAGAAGATAGAAGAGCCACAATACAGTAATGACATAATATGAAATCAGTAATATGCAGTAAGAACACCTTCTGTTGTATTGATCTAATAATTACCTATAAACTAGCTTATTAGGCCACATGCACATTGGATGTTTGGTCCATGCACACTGGGCTGAAGGGCCGGTTCACAGTACATGTGTTTCAGTTGCTTTTTTTCTGCATCTAAAACACACAGAAAATAGGTTATATGGTTGTCAATGTCCGTATAATAATGACTCTCCTGGAAAATTGGAAAATAACTCCCCAGTCATCATTATGTATATTATAATAACTCTCCAGTTATTTTTGTATATGAAATAATATCTTCCCAGTCATTTTTATATATGTAATAATAACTCTCTCTATGTACTAATAACTCCCAAACAGAAAAAGGCATAAGTTATCTAAAATAAATTCAAATTGTAATTAAATGTTTATTATTAAACAAATGAGACCAACAATGTTTTTTTTTTAAGTTTTTACATTGTAAATTTTTATTAAAGTAAACAAAAATTACATGTAGAATGCAGAAATATCAATATACATGTAATGTACATAGTTATGTACATTTAAAATGTTAGTAATGTTCATAAATCTAAATCTATCTCTGTCAGTTTGCATTTTCTTCCTCTAAATTTCTTTGCAGATGTAGGAAATGGATGCATGTCACTCTTACATATATATTAACAGATAAGGCATATCAATTTAAGCTCTTACTTACAACTTTTATGTCATTTAGCTTCTTCAAAACTAGGGGAGTTATTATTACATAGAGAGAGTTATTATTACATATATAAAAATGACTGAGGAGTTATTAATACATAGAGAGAGTTATTATTACATACATAAAAATGACTGGGGAGTTATTATTACATAGAGAGAGTTATTATTACATATATAAAAATGACTGGGGAGGTATTATTACATAGAGAAAGTTACTATTACATATATAAAAAAATGACTGGGGAGTTATTATTACATAGAGAGAGTTATTATTACATACATAAAAATGACTGGGGAGTTATTATTACATAGAGTTACTATTACATATATTAAAATGACTGGGGAGTTATTATTACATAGAGAGAGAAAATGATTGGGGAGTTGTTATTACATAGAGAGAGTTACTATTACATATATAAAAATGACTGGGGAGTTATTATT